GACGGAGCCCTTATCTGAAAGCAGTCTCTGATCAGATGGCTAGGGGTGGCTGCTAAGAATGAATGGCAGCACCTCCTCTTAGAACCAGTTTGGCTGTTCCCAGCTGATCTCAGATAAGTGTCCTGGACATCACACAGCCCTCGGTCCAGCAGAGAACTAGATAAACGCCAGAGATTCTCACAAAATCCCTCTTCCCTCAGGTTCAGTTCATCCTGGAGTTCGAGTACAGCTGCGCCATTCTCCTGAACCGCGTGCAGATCAAGATGTCAGCCAGCAGGTGAGCGTACACCGCCATGATGGATTCTTAGACGGGGCAGGAAGTAAGATCACAGCTTCCTTTCTGTACACCTTCACCATAGCTCCACCCCTAATATCGATGTATAAACGAGAGGTAGACACGTGCCATTCGTTTTGTTCTGAATCAAAATTTGTACGAATTTTCCGAAATTCCAAATCCCAATGCGTCTGAATCCGAATTTCCGTTTCCAAATTTTGTTCAAAAACGAAACTGAATGGGACATGTGACTTTTCTGGCCAATCAGATGTGTTTTTCGGTTTAGTGCATCCGAATGGGTCTGAACTCAAATTTTTGTTACGGCAACATGGGAGCCATATACAGTATATACATATAATACTAAAGCTGAGGCTCTCTGACCTGAACGGCATTAGGGATCCGAATTTCCGAATTGCTTTCAGGAACTCCCAATACCATTCGGGTCTGGGAGCCTCAGCTTTAATAATATATGTATATGGCTCCCAGACCCGAATGGCATTCGGGAGCTCCTCAATGCAATTCGGATCCCAAATACCATTCGGGTCTAGGAACCTCAGCTTTAGTAGTAATATCGGTATAGCATTCTGTGGTATTGCAACGGATATTCGTAAACTCACCCGAAACTGCTGGGGGATTGGGGGCGTGTCTTGGGAAAGATGGCGTGCAGACGTGTCTAGTCAGAAACCCGGACACACCACCCGCAGCGCTGATAACCCGGACCCGGACGAAACCACAAGCCTACAGCCTTCAGCCTTAAAGAAATGAGCTCGAACAAAAAAAACACACGAAGCGGGACTGCTAAAACCACAACCGCTGGGATAAAAAAGTATCTGGCAGCAGAGCGGACGAGTCTGAACGCATCGCAGGACGCGGCCCAGATCGGCTCACAAACGGCACATTCGCCGCAATTGTCCAGGCATGGACCGGACCCCGAGATGTCTTACCTTCGGGCGGAATCGGGAGATGATTCCCGGCCGGGAGGGACATTGTACAATTTGTATTGTGTATTAATAGTAAAATAATAAAAATTAAATATTTTTTTTTAAAAACTAACCCTAAACTAACTAAATTCAGATTTCGAAACCCGAACCGAATTGAATTTCGGATCCGAAACCCGAAATGACGAAATATATCCCAACCCAATTTTTCCACAGCTTACATTTCTAATGAGAGGGAATGTCACAGAGCAATTCTCTATGTAACCACTTCCTTTCTCACCCCTTTACACCCCCCCCCCCCCTATGGGCCCCACC